TTTTTTTTTTTTTTTTTTTTTTTATAGATATTTTGCACACTTTTTTTATTATAAAAAATTACATTTTTTAAATATATATTTATTTGTTTTGATTCTTCCACGTAAAACTATTACTTGAATATTTTTTTCTTCAAAAACGTTTGGACACACTCTCTTATTAGTTTCTTTTGATAGTTTCAAATCCATAATTTTTTTATATTAAGAAGTTGGGTGCCAAAAGGAGAGAATTTAAAATTTCGTATTGTACAGCATAAAATGCAAGAGAAAATTTGAAAAAAAAAATGGGAGAAATAGCAAGAAGAATAATCTCTTATTAATTCTTTCATTCAGAAGAGTGGTCTTTTCTGTGGAATTATGTCGTTTAGAAAATAAAACCGAAAGTGGGGTAAGAGAAATTCGAACAATTGAATCATTTTAATTTATTGATTATTTTAGAAAATTTAAAAGACATTAATTATTTTTAATTTTATTTTTATATTTTAATGTTTTTATTATGACCATAAGACTCCTGTTATTATTAGGGTCATCTGCATACAAGGTATTGTTTGTTTTTTATGCTTGTTGGATCATCACGGTTTTATTCTTGAAAAAACGTCTTAATGGGTTAAAGAGGAAAAATATTTATAAACTATCCTTAGCATCGATTCTTAAGCGATGTGAAACTTTTTAGGCATATCAGAACAAGCCCCCAGTCGATGTAAGGGGTAAGAGTAGCCCCTTATTCCGATATGCCTAAAAAATTCTATATCGTTGATACTAAGGGTAGTTTATAAATATCTCCCTCCTTAATCTATTGAAACGCCTTTTCAAGGACAAAATCGTGACAGTATAACAAGAGTCAAAGCGGACAATACTTTGGATGCAAGTGATCCTAAAGATAACAATAAACTTATTATCGGAACAATTTTTATTGGGTCAAATAATATATATATATAAAGTTTTCCCGTAGACAATTCATTCACTTATACAAAAATTACTTAAAAGTTAGACCTACCATAATTTTTTAATTAGCTAATAAAGTAAAAATAATCTTCTTCTTATAGAAAATACTCCACGTATAGACAATCTATAATTTACACCATCATCCAACTAAAACTCACCATTTTTGGATTACAAAATAATTTGTATATGCGGATATCCGTAAATAAATTCACTATGGATAATTGGTAACTTAAACAAATACTCGCAGATAATGTATATAGATTTCTTTTAATTTTTTTATAAACGGGTGGAGATAGATTTGAAAATATTTATACTCACATGTATCCGTTAAGTAATATTACTTAAATACCCTCATACACACATATATGAGGATAATCAATTTATTCTAAGAGTAAGTATATATATTTAAATTTATTTCTCTCAATAAGTCATGTTTACATCAAATTTTAACGATCCAACTATTAAATTAAAAGTTCTTAATGCATAAATTAAGTGTAAAAATTTTCAAAATTTTTGAAAATTATTTGATACTTTATTTTATTTATTCAAATTGACGAATAATCATAAAAATACTTTATACGTTAATTTGAATTAATAAAATGAAATATTAAATAGTTTTCAAATCTTTAAAAAATTTGTAAACTTGATCAATGCAATAAAAGCTTTTAATTCAACAATTCAATTATTGAAATTTGATGTAACATATGAGTTATTGAGTGAAATGAGTTTATGTAAATATACTTTTGGAGTAAATAGATCCTTTTCTCTCTCTCTCTCTATATATATATGTGTGTGAATAACTTTAAATCCCCTAATTATGATATTTTCTATATTATTGAATTGAGACTATTTACTTTTAATATTCTAATATAATTTTTTAGGTTTTTTAAATTTTTTTTATTTCTAAAAAAAATTACAAATATTCATAGAATCGCATGTTATCATAAAATTCACAAATATCCTACTTAACAAACACTCATGCGAATATTGGGTGAGTATGGAGAAAATTTTTATCCAAGAGAATTAGGACAGATAGTAGACCTCATTGTCATCTCTACTCACCATGTGTGTACAAAAATTATTTTAAGAGTCATACCATGATTTCTAAGTCATACCATGAATAACCAGTTTCATTTTGGCATTGTAGCTTGGGTTTGATTCTTTACATTTCGCTAGAATTGATTATCAAGACAGAGCTAAACGCAAAGCTGACAAATCTCTTGAAGTTGTTTGGCGTGGCTCCAAAACTTTTGGTTCTTCTGCTCAGGTTTGGTTTGCCACTTTTGTACCATGAAATGACTCATTCCTTTGTAAAAACTCACTGATTATTATTATTATTATTATTTTACCATTTTGTCTCCATTGCAGATTTTTGCCAATGCTTTTCCTGTTCATTATAGTGCTCCAAATGGTTTTAATTTTGAAGTCAATAACGACTTTGACCCGTTACAGGTTCCAACGCTAAACTATAAGATATTGATTCTATTTTTCATATTTTGTTAAACACATGGCTCATTACATGTAAGTGTTTATGTATGTAGGATGATCCTCTTCTTTTTGATTACAATGTTGAACAACGTGTCAAAGACTTTATTGATGCTGCTACTACCCAAGTAAGCTTTTTTTATCCAAGAATTTTGTTAATCTAGTGACAATTTTCTTATATTTAATGACTAATATTAGTGTGTCATTATGCTAATGAAAATAAAACCTATTGTGTGAACTGATAAATCATATTTTGTTAATCTAGTGAATGTACTATATATACAACAAGAAAAGAGAAAAATATCATATTAAACGAGACTTATCTAACAAATAGGCTCATTACTGTTATAGGGGCATACGGTGAAGAGGAAAAAATTATTAACCATCCATATCACCACGTGTCCATAATCATCATCAATCTTCACTTGTCTTATAATTGAGATTTTTAATATATGAGAAAGAATTATTAATACTCAATTATGTGTCCTATAAAGATTGGTCAGGATAATGGTGGTAAAGAACCATGTAGTAATTTCTCGACGCAAAGAGACTAGATGATTACATATACCTACCTATTTATTTAATGTTTATTGAGAAAGAGATAATTACAAATTGATTATATCTTGTGATGTTTAAAATGAGAGGATCTCATTTCTTATACCAACTAGATTTCTTCACACTCAAATAGACAAGAATATGTATAAATTAAATTTTTTGATCCTTAATATAGGCAAATGTAACGAGGACAAACCATATAATGTGGACAATGGGAGATGATTTCCAGTACCAATATGCAGAGTCTTGGTTCAAGCAAATGGATAAATTAATTAACTATGTTAACAAGGTAAGGGATTATAATACAAATCGTAGAAATTCTTTTATGCATGCACTATGAGACTAAATTCATGTTTTCCTGTGTTTTTAATCTTCAGGATGGTAGAGTAAATGCTTTGTATTCCACTCCATCAATTTACACGGATGCCAAAAATGCGGCCAATCAAACTTGGCCATTGAAAATAGATGATTACTTTCCGTGAGGATATGTTATTGTTTTTCTTTTCTTTTTTACCAACAATTTATGATCTTGACCACTTAAGCATATTCTTGATTATTTCTTATAGATATGCTGATAGACCAAATGCTTATTGGACTGGCTATTTCACAAGTCGCCCAGCCTTTAAGAGATATGTTCGAATGCTAAGTGGATACTATTTGGTATAATATTGATGTCCTAAACAAAATAAATTTGGATGGACTTTTCTGTTTGCTTCCAACTTTCCAAGCATTCTAATTAAATATGACATTGGTAACATTTTGGTGTAGGCAACACGTCAACTTGAATTTTTGGCTGCAAAAAAATCAACCAAATACCATACTTTTGACCTTGCAGATGCTCTAGGAACTGCACAACACCATGATGCTGTTAGTGGCACTGCTAAACAACATACAACCGATGACTATGCCAAACGATTGGCTATTGGAGCCTCTAAGGTGAGGAACTAAAACTTTTCAAAATCTAAAATTTAGAAATATATTTTGTGTCTTGCATTTTTGTTTATCTAGTTAATTTTCCAAAAACTATGATTTCTCACAGGCTGAAGCAGTTGTTAGTTCTTCTCTGGCTTGTCTTACTAGTAAGCAATCGAGTGATCAATGTTTAACATCGGCATCGCCATTTTCCCAGGTAAAGTTTAAAATGTGAAGAGAAAAAAATCATTTCTATTCTTGATGAGTACTGATTACTCTTGTCCAAGTGTTTGCTGGAAAATAATTCAAATTTTAAATAAATATAGGTGGTGGAAATTCCAAAGGTTGTTTTATGAATTTTTTTAGTTCTATTTCAAATTTTTAGATTTAGGATGTTATTTAGATAAAGATAAAAAAAATATTATTCTTATCCTTTAGATTTATGATATTATTTGTTTGAGTTTAAGATTAGGATGTTGATAGGAATTGAATTTGTATTATAATTTAGTTATATATAAAGAGGCAAGGAATAAAAACTCAATGGTTTGCTCCATCTCCATTGTGTGTACAATATTTTTTTTTTTTCCCAACAGTCTTGTCAAAAAAATATGTTGGTGTTTCAAGATTTCAAATGTATCTATAAGACTTGTTTAGCATCATATGTTTATTGTGTATGTGTAGATTGTTAGTTAGCATCATGTTCTCGATTCTTTAATTATTATTTTCATAGTTGTTAGATTTTGGCAGTGTCAATTGTTAAATATCAGTTATTGCCCTCCAACAGAAGACAACATTCCAGAGGCTAAGAGTTTGGTAAAATTTTTTAATTTTTGCTAATGAATTATGATTATATTTTAGTTGTCATATGTTAACAATAATAATTTCAGGTAGTAGTGGTATATAATCCACTTGGATGGAATCGTACTGATATTATCAAAATTCCTGTGAGTACATATTATCATTTACTTGTGCTTCATAAAACAAATCAAATTCAATATCATGCTAAAGGTGACAATTTGCATTAGGTTAATGATGCTAATCTTGTTGTCAAAGATTCATCGGGCAATAACCTTGAAGTACAATATGTGGATGTGGATGATGTTACAACAAATTTAAGAAAAATCTATGTGAAGGCCTATTTGGGGTTGTCACCGAAACAAGCCCCAAAGTATTGGCTTTTATTTCAGGTGTCAGTACCACCACTTGGATGGAGTACCTACTTCATTTCTAAAGCAAATAAAAAAGGTATAGTTCCATTTCATATATCATTTTCTATATTTAGAAACTAAGTCATTGCATTTATTAAGAGAGAGAAAATATGAAAGGAAAATTTACGTTTATGTGTTGGAGCAAATGCTCGTTAGATTTAATTTTAATAGAAAACCCAAAGCACACTATGATTGGTTCACCAATATGAGACTTTGTTGAGAGAAGATCCTGTCTATCCAAGATCCATTTAGACCTGTGCATCATAAGCTCCATGCAACACTCATTTTTTAGTTTATTTGTCACATATTATCGATGTAAAATACTTTATGCTATTAACCAATAAAAATTATTTTTGGTCTGACCATAAGTCAATAAACTTATCATGAATGAAGGTTAATGTCAGTGTAAAAAGCCTTTACACCTTGGTATATTCTAATTAAGTTCATTAATTTTCAGTATTAAATATGCTTTTTTTGTTTCAACTTGTTAGGGACCAGAAGAAAAGTTCTATCTCACCTCAACAGACAGAAAAGTGAGACCATTAACATTGGGTCGGGAAATTTAAAGATGTCATTTTCCTCAACCTCCGGACAACTCAAAAGGATGTATAATTCTAAAACTGGAGTAAGTATTTTGCAAGTTGATACATTATTACAAAATAATGTTCTTAATTTATGTTAACTGATTTGCTAATTAATATGCCAAACTATGGACAACACTATACTGGATTGAATGAGCCCTTAAATAAAGACACAGAACAAGTTGAATTTCTATTTGGCATAAATCATAAAGTAAAAGTAGAGAATACTTTTTAACACACAATTTCCACAATCATCAAACTTCAAATTTTCATACTCAATGACCATTTATTGTTATAAATCTTTATTTGTGTGTTGTTGAGTATCTATTCTTTTGAATTCATATACATAAAGTAATAAATTTCAATGACAAGAATGTTCTAGGAATATTTTGTCACTTAGGCTTAGCTTTATTGATTTCATATCGAGACATATTTGAAAGGGTGTGATGGACAATATTTAATGATTTTTAAATTTTCTAAGGTTGATATACCAATTCAACAAAGCTACCTTTGGTATGAATCTAGTGACGGTGATAGTGATCCTCAGGTGTGTGACATTTTTTACACATACAACTCATTCCAATAACAAGTTAAATTAACATCGTGTATGCTTTAATGGTTCGATTTTTCTTACAGGCTTCTGGTGCATATATTTTTCGGCCTACTGGATCTTCTCCAAATATCGTTTCAAGATCAGTAAGTTTCTTCTTTGAATATGTTAACATGTGACATTAGTTTTATATAAGAAAATAGAAGTATGATCATATAAACTATTAAGTTTAAATTGACAACAAGACATTCTAAAAAATGATAATTTAAATTATCTTGAGTAATATATAAACTATTATATAATTGTTTGTTAATAAATTAAAACAAAAATATAAACAAATTATGAAGACTAAAGTGATGATGCGCAGACAGATAGAATGGAAGCAATATAAAGAGATGTGACAGTTCTTAGGAATACACAAGTTATAATATTTAACATAATATAGAATGTAATGAACAACCAGAACTCTTTTATTGAGAAATTGGAATTTTATTAAGACCTTATGTACAGATCAAAGAAATTAAGAAACTGATAACTTTCTGCCTCTTTGGAAAACTTTGAGGTCTTACAACAACCCACTCTTTGGGTCTTACAATAGACTCATTTTAGGCTGCAGACAGACTATTAGTTTCTCTTTTCTTTCCTTAAGGTCTTTTGGAAACATTTATCAAGGGCACACCTAAAGAACTCAAGCTTACAAATCCCAGGTTTTCACAAAATCATTTTCTCAAAATTGTTCAAAGTTCTAAATTACATTTTTATATGTTAAATAAAATAACTATGATATCCAAAGAACTACCACAGATATTTTAGCCAACTGTCCTCATAGAAGAATGCTTACAAAAATTTTATTGATGATATTACAATGTCAGCATACAAATGATATACTCAGAATTCTCTTCTTCTCTCACTTCTCTATTTTTGCTCTCTTTTCTACCTCCCTTCAAGAGAATTAAGTGACTCTATTTATAGACTTAAAACAAACAAAAGACAAAATACAAGCTAAAATGACTAAAATGCCCCTTCAATCAAGTATAGTATTATACTATACCTTTACTTTGTCACAAGCATACGACTAGACTTAAAGTAAAACTGGTTCTTTGTTGATAAGGTTTGTATGCAGGATATCTAACATCCTTATCTTTTGTTTTAGTCTCCCTTTTTTTTTATTTATTTGGAGACCAAAATTTCTTCATCTTCTTTGACCTCTTGCATTTCTGAGGATTTTGCCATTGAATGGTTATCCGAAGGAGTTTGTTGGCCAAAACTTCTATTTACTTTATAAATTTCTTTGTGCCTCTTTTCTTTCTAGAATAATTGCACTAATTTATTATTGGTATCCATGGGGAAAGGTATGGAAAGTTTCCCATTTTCTGATGGTAAATATAACTTTCTATCATGGGTTTCTTTGATGAGGTTGTACTCTACTTCATTAGATTCAGAGAAAAACCATTGATATCCCATGTCTTGGGCTCTGTACAAGCTGTATTGGTAATGAATATTACCTTGGACATCCCAAAGTTCATATCCATCATTATACAACATATCGGGGTAGTCTTTGTGTCTGTCAGTCAGCAATTTCATAACATGAGTTGGGTACTGGTTTTGTGTGAAATTGTTAGGGCAAGTTACTATTTTTATGGTTATATGACGCATAAAAATAGCCTGTATTGTGTTGATGGCTTCATTTATTAACGAGTTGAATCCATCAAATCTTTCTGTCGGATGAATCAAAATCGAGTCCAAGCATCCATAATCCAACAATGTCTTTCTGTTGATGGCCATGTCTTCAAAAGCTACAGGCCTAAAATTTTCTAGGTCAAGCTTGACTTTTTTGAATAAGAACTTGACCTTGCAAGGATATTTTTCATAAGATATTTCCTTGCATACTTGAGATTCCTCCAAGAATTCAAATCTATGGTTGAAATAGCTTTGGATAGCTATATACATACCTACTACTATTTGGGAATCTTTATGGACCTTCACGAGGAATTTTTGCATCACCAATTTTTTTTTGGGATTTAATTCATTTGGTGAAGATGGATTTTGTCTCACAGCCACTTGGAAACTTTGGGGCTAGGTTTTTATTGGGCTAGTTCTAATAACACTTATTCCAGGCTTTAGATTAAGGGTCTTTTTTTATTTTTGTAGTGTCAATAATGTCTAGCTCTAAGGTCTTTTCATCTTCTTCTTTAGAATAAAAACCTTTGTATTAGAAATTTTGTAGTCCTTCCTTGGTAGTGCACAAGTCAATGATGTTTGTGTATATCCCTTTTTATGGTCCTGATAGTAGGACAAAATATGTATAACCTTTATCTGAAGGTGAAGCTTTTATTAGGAGTGGAACTCCTTGATTATCTGCTATGCAAAAATTGTATAGGGCACAAATGATCCCTCTTTTTATTGAACACACATATTGTTCATTATTTTTTGAATATTTACGGATGTTCCAAATATTATCAATTATACAATTGAATTTATCATTTATAGTTCCTCTACCAGGATAGTGAAACTCATTTGTTAAAATTGGTAATTCTTGATTACCGAATTTCATTTTTTGCTTCGCGTTTGGATACGAAACCTTGGAGGGTTTCATTGTTTATCATTCCTTCAAAACGAGATAAAATATCGGTAACAATGTTTTTATTCCCTTTTATATGTTCAAAATTTATTCTTAGACCATTATGGTAAACATGTTCTTGAAATAACATACACCTTTATGGGATTTTTTGTCAGAATTTATCTAAGAATTACCATAAGCAACTATTGTTTCACAATCAGTTCTTATTGTAATTTTGCTTTTATTTATCAAAAATAGTTTAAAAGTTTTTAAACCCTTTATAACAACGTTTTCCTCATAATCTGTTGAAGTAGAGTAAACTTGAGGTTTTGTATGATATTTTCCTGAAGCATATCTACATATTTGTTCTTCAGAAATATTATCATATTTATTTTTCTTTTTCTATAAGATGGCACCCCATCCTAATTCACATCCATCGCATTCTATAACTAAATAGTTTGTATCTAATGGTAAAGATAAAAAAGGAAAAATTTTGAGATTTCTTTTATTTGTTTAACTAGTTTTGAAGTTAGCGGAAAAACACATAGAAAGAGGGGGTTGAATATGTGTGTGTTAGTACAAAGGAATTTTAGAAACGTTTTCGCAAGAGTAATGTTGTTCGTCTAATGCACTTTTGAATGTCAGACAGTTACTCAGAATTTGGTTAACATAATGTCATTGCTTTTGAATGATTCATCGTCTACTGAAAAAAATGTTTTATAATGATAATTATTAAAGTTCTAACATTTTCCTTTTCAATATAGTTTCATTTGAAGACAAGTAGAGGATAAAGCTTTTCAGTCTAATATGTTTGTTAAACAAAATTTGCGTCTTCGTCTGAAAAATGGTTTTAATGAAGAATAGACAGTAGACGAAGATTAATGGTAATTTGACAATTGAAAATAATTTGCGTCTAAAATATAGATAGAGTAGTGCAATCACTTTTATATTGGTTCCCTCAACTAAGCTACGTCCAACCTCCTTCAACTGAAGGGTTCCACTAGATATGCAATTCAATACAAAAGTATTATCGACCATTTCTGGCTCGTTGACTTCACTCATCAACGCTAGTATCTTCTTATCAGCCTCTTCAGGCTAGCATTGAGTATTATCGTCCACTCCTGGACTTGAGTATTCTCGACCACTCTTGGCCCTGAGAATTCTCGACCACTCCTAGCCCGTCAGCTTCACTCACCAACGCTAGTATTCTTAAACCACTTTTGGTTCTCCAAGTATTCTCGACCACTCCTGGCCCAGGCTTCACTCACCAACGCTAGTATTCTTAAACCACTTCTGGTTCTCCAAGTATTCTCGACCACTCCTGACCCGTCGGCTTCACTCACCAACGCTAGTATTTTCTTATCAGCCACTTCTGGCTAGTAGTGAGTATTCTTTGTCAAGCCCCTTTAGGCTTTACAAGTATTATTTTCCTAGCCTCTTCAGGCTTTACGATGTTGGTTAGAGAGTTTTGGTTTGAGTGTATACATAACTCTCATAGAAAGGATTGGGAATTTCCTACACTCGCTAAGGTTTGCTACCTTAGTTTTACAGAGACTTGTGTTTTAGTGTTTGGGTTACTCTCATGGAGAGGATACATAGGTTTACAACACTCACTAAGGTTTAGTCCATTACTAACATTTCGAACATCTTAGTCTACAGAGATAAAAATACAATATAACATTGTACATATGACTATGTATGCTCATCTCTAGTCTCTATCTCGCGGGCTTGATATCACTCTTTTTCTTCCAATCAAAAAGCTAACCTTTTAAGGTTTGAGATAGTGATATATATATATATTAGTAGAATCTGCGCGTTGCAATTGTCCATTGAAGCAAATATAGCCATTCACAACCAGTTTGATCTTCTCATTTAATGCTCAGATTCGTGCATTAAATGTTGCTTCCCATTCATAGACAATGGATGAAGTTTCCTTGCTCTATTAGTAGCTGTGTCTGAATATAGTAGAGTCCTAGGAAACTTTTTGTCCTTTTCTGATTCTATAGCTGTGAAACTTTTGTCCTAGCTTGAAAAAGTGATGTACTTTTTCTAACATATGCATGATTTAGTGTTTGAGCATGCTCTTCTTCTTTCTTCTTCTCTTCTAATAATTCGAATGACTTCGTGTGTGTTCTTTTGTGAGTGTAGATGATATTCAAATTCTCCTTTGAGGCTTGATTTCTCATATGATTGCATGACATTCTTTGTCTGCGTCTGGTAGTCAATATTTAGTTTAATACTTCGACCTTTATCTAATCATCAGTATTTTGACTTTTCCTTTCGTCTTGGTCAACCTTGTATATGGTCAAACTTTTCATTTCTTCTAGAGTTTCTTCTTGGTCATTTGACCATCTTCCGTCTGAGTCTTTATGTGCTGCCTTAGATTGTGCTTGGCATGGTCTTGTTCCTGATTTGACTTATTGAGTGCTTATGTTGGCCTTTCGTTTTGTAGCATCTGATGCTTATGCCTCTTCGTCATTTTACATGTTCTTATGTCTTTCTTAAACACTAACTCACTTGTTAGAGATAACAACATATATTATATTTGTCTCACTCAAAACCTTTTTGGGAATTTCTTTGTCTGACTTAACAAGTTTTATATCCTTTGTATTAAACTTCCTTTATCCGATTATACTAGTTTTATTATACAAAGGTGTTGTATATTTTCCCAAGTCCTTTATAAAATTTCTTGCATAATTTAAAAGTCCTAAGAAACCTCTTAGGATTTTTATATCCTCCATTTTATTAGGAAAAACAATAATTTTCTATGAAATGTGGGCTTGGAGTTTAATTTTTCCATTCCCTATTTCAGTTCCTAAAAAGGATATATGGGTTTTACAAATTTTCATTTTTGATTTAGAAATTATAAGCCCATACTTTTCAAATAGATAAAGAACCTGTTTTAAATGTAAGAAGTGTTCTTCTTTTATTTTTGAGTTTAAATGTAAGAAGTGTTCTTTTTTTTTTTTTAAAATACTAGTACATCATCTATATATGTACAAGTAAAATCTTTGTATTTACCAAAAATATTTTCCTTTTAAGTTTTCATATTTCTTACACCACATTTGTTATTTGTATAAATGTATTTTGATTTATTTTATATATAGGTACCCATCAAGGTAATCCGCGGACCATTAGTTGATGAAGTTCATCAGAAATTTAGCTCTTGGATTTACCAGGTTAGTATTTTTTTTTTCAAATTTAAGTGTTAGGATAAAGTTTTGTTTATAAAATAGTTTATCTATTTTTTTATTATGTTGGCTAGATCTAAATATTCTATGTTGTAATAAATGTATTTCAAGACAAAACAATGAATCTTGAGTCATGTTGTTTATACTTTAGAGGAGGCATATCTCAACATCCTTTTATTGAGGTAATGCAAGCAATCTACACAAAATCTAATGCCAAAATGGATTGAATACATACAAGACTAGACAACAATGAGCCATATCACATTATCTTGAATCTTGATGTCATTTAACATTAATGTTTAGAGTATAATTGTGAGTGATTTACTGTTGAAAAATTACACATTGTTGAGAAAAACAAATAAGAATCATTGCGGTGGGAAAAGTTACAACCCATCTATCTCTTCGATTTAATTCATTTTATGTTATATAAAATTATAATTATTCCTATTGATTGTAAATGACATTCTTTATTGAATATTTAAATTCCTTTTCATTGTTATGAATAATTTTTCATATTATTTATTTATTGTTTAGGTTACTAGGCTTTACAAAGACAAAGACCATGCTGAAATTGAATTCACTGTAAGTTGCGTTGTTTAATCTCCTAAAGACGTATTATGTTTTTTGGTATTATTAAGTTTAGAGTTGTATCAATAATAAATAAGGTTTTGACTTAAGTTTATTTATGAAGATTGGTCCAATTCCTACTGATGATGGAGTTGGAAAAGAAGTGATCACACGAATGACAGCAAATATGGCCACAAACAAGGAGTTTTATACCGATTCTAATGGAAGGGATTTTCTAAAACGAGTAATCTCACTCACATTTTTTCTTGTTTATAATGAAATCCTATTGGGAGAAGATATTGCAAGTTTGCAACATTTACTTATATTACCCTCAAAATGTCAATGCAGGTTCGAGATCATAGGGAAGATTGGCCACTTCAAGTTACTCAACCAGTAGCAGGAAACTATTATCCTGTAAAATTCTTTTACTCTGATAATTTTATCAAAAGTTTGGGTAAACACAATAATATGGCGACATCCAACCAATTAAAAGAACTTGAAGAGAGAGAGATAAAGATAAAATAGACTATTAGTTTTGTTGTTACATAACTTATGAGCTTCTATAATATTGATTCAAATTATATAAATTCATGCTAAATTATTGTTTCTTTGTCCAGCTTAATCTTGGAATTTATACTAAGGATAAGAAATCTGAGTTCTCAGTCTTAGTTGATCGTGCCACTGGTGGGGCTAGCATCAAAGATGGTGAGGTTGAATTGATGCTTCACAGGTATTAAAGATATATTTTACTATATAGTTCAAGATTATTTTATTGCATACAAACTATTAATACACACTATTTACTACTCAAGGCGTATTCTCCATGATGATGGACGAGGAGTCGGGGAACCACTTGATGAGCAAGTTTGCATTAACAATAATAAAACCTGTGAAGGACTAACAGTATGGAAATGTCATCAATTACATTATATTTCTTTGTGTCCTTTTTTGTTTGAGTGACTAATTTAGTTAGTTTTTTTTAAAGATGGTTAAACACTCCCTCTCAGGTTTTCATTAGCTTAATTGGGAGAAATACTAGGAAGTTAAAGTAAAGTTTTTCTTTCTTCTATCTGCATAACATATCTATCTTTTCTTTTTGTTTTAAAATATTAGGTAAGAGGAAATTATTATATTAGCATCCACAAGGTTGGAGCTGGGTCACGGTGGCGCCGTACAACTGGTCAGGAGATTTATTCACCATTGTTGTTGGCTTTTACACATGAGGTATGACTCAGTTGAAAGTACATTGTGGATTAATAATCATGATCACTATATTACATCTTATGAGATATTTATTGATCAGAACTTGAAAAATTGGAAGTCCTCTCATTTGACCAAAGGAACTATCATGGATCCAAATTACAACTTGCCTCCTAATGTTGCTTTGATAACTCTTGAGGTAGAACAATGTTGCAAGGAGATTTATAACACTCTTGGCTCTCTCTCTTTCTCTCTCTCTCTCTGACTAAAATATGTTTTGTAGGAGTTGGATGGTGGAACTGTGCTTCTCCGTTTGGCACATTTATATGAGGTATGTCTATAAAAATTAATATTTATCATCATATTCATAATTAACTTCAGATAGACTAGGCCAGAGTGATATAATAAAACTCAACAGGATCATATGCCAACTCTTATATAAATAATACATGTTTTAATGTAATTCAATTGTATTAAGTAATCTTTTTTCTATGTGAATATTAGTTCTACTCTCACATAGTTCTCATGTTTTTAACATGATTAGCCAAGTGAAGATACTGAGTATTCAACTCTTGCCAAAGTTGAACTAAAGAAGTTGTTTGCCATGAAAACGGTATGTAGAGTTTCTTCTCGCAATTAAGAAAAATAAAAGGGCTTGCCTATTTTAGTTGCTTTTTGTGACGCACATATTTTCTTAGATTAACATAATTTGAGCTTAGTTCACTTTTGTCCTATAAAACTTTGTCGGCCTAGTTTGTAATGAGTGATTCTGGTGTTTTATTATGCAGATAAAGGAGTTGAAGGAGACAAGTTTATCAGCTAACCAAGAGAAATCAGAAATAAAGAAGATGACATGGAAGGTTGAAGGAGACAAAGGAAAAGAACCTCAAGCAGTTAGGGGTGGCCCTACCAACAATCCTAATTTCGTTGTTGAGCTTGGTCCAATGGAAATACGAACTTTCCTATTGAAGTTTTGAAACATCTCAAGTCATCATTGATGATTTTATTTGAAGAATAAACATGTTTGATCACATGATTTTAACCATGTGAAAATGGTAGAAGGATACTAAGAACATTGGAGGAAATCTTTGAAAGAAATCTCGTGGTGAATAATATATTTAAGAATGTGACTTTTAACCAAATCTAACAGAGTCGAGAAATAACGTTACCAATCCCACATAATGAAATAAGATTATTGTTGTTAATTGTTTTAGTTGTTATTGTTGAATAAACATGTTTGATATTTCTCTATTGATTATTGTTTTGTTTCTAATCGCAAAATGTAGACTAATCTAAGTTTAGTTAAGTGCCTCATATTCAGCCAATTTGCTTATACTTAAAAAAATATTTTTATAAAAAGAACTTCTTAAAAATTATTTTTTTAAAGAATCAAATAGAATTTGCTTCTTAAAAAAAGAGAGTAGAAAATCGCTTATTTTTAAAATAAGTGGTTTAGATAAACACACTAAAAAATTATAAAACTACTTATTTTATTAAAAAAATTATTTTTAATTTTTTTTAAACAAATGGACCCATATCAAATAATGCATTATACAAATTGAATTTTGTGTGAGAAAAATGCTATCAACATATTATCTATCACACCTTTTAAGCATACTATTTATTATAAGGATAAATTTACTAGAAATTATAAATTTTAAAAATTTAATTCTCATTTAAAGAGTCTTTATCCTATTTTTACAATTTTCAATAAATTTTAACTAGTAATAAAAGGTACGTTAGCATGTGTCTATTGAAGAATGTGTTACTAACACTTATATCGTAAATGATGAGGTCAAAGGATGAATTTATATAAATAATGTTTTGGGATAAAAATTTAAATTTTTGAAATAGATGGGGTGGATAAAAATTAAGATAAAAATTAAGAAGATCGATTATTTTAAGTATTTATAATCTTTAAGATATTATTTAAATTTACATATTTTATCAATTTATTTTAATATTTTTTGGGATCTATTTCTTTTTTTTTTAATTAGGATTATGATATATTTGAATTTTGTATTAGAATTTAGATCTATATAAAGAGTTAAGAAATAAAACCTTATATAGTGTGCATTTCATTTGAGATTCTTGGGTGTGTGAGTAATTCTATTACGTGTAGAGGAGTTTTCCTAACACTGGCATGAGAGCTATCGTAGGGAACACATAAGTTTGAGATTTCATTATTTGATAGCAAGACAATTTTTATGATTTAATAGTGTACCATTCAAGATCTTTTTCAATAAAATCTTGATCATGCTTTGGAAGATGAAAAGTCGACTACTATCAATTATAAAGAATGAACTCAGATATAAAAGGAGGTAGTGAGCATGATTCAATTAATTCTTGCTCTTGAGATCAAGTACAATGTGTTAAAGGAGACAACATTGAAAATGTAACATCCCATTTTTCATAAAATATAATGTAATTTATTAATATTTATGGCATTTTTATTTTAACAAATAGAGTTGTGTTAATATTTATTCTAATTATTTGGCATGTTTTGGAATATTATATAAGGTGTATCGTTAAACTTTTTAATTAAATATTTTATTTTAATTAAATAAAAGGGAAGGAATTTGTAACTAGGGTTAAGTGTTTTCACTTAAGGGTTAAAGAGAGGTTAAAGTTTTTAAAAGAGTAGTTTTTGATCAAATCTTTTTACGCTTTCATTTTACATATGCGCTTCAGAGTTTAGAGAACAAAAGAAAAAATGAAATCACCCTAAAGCTGTGCATCAATCTTCTTCTACTTACCAAGGTAAGAGGGGAGTGAGAAACCTCTCTTTGGGTGTGGAATTATATGTTGGATAGCGAAATTGACCTCCAATCTCATGTATGTTGTGTGTCTATGTATGAGGGATTTTCCCAAATGTGTCTATTTTGTCCCTTTTTCTCTTATACGTTCCTAATGACATGAATTATTTGAATGTATAATCAATTGTATGCTTTGGATTGTAATTGTATGATCTGAAGTTTCCGTGGGTTCTTATGAGAATCCCTAAGAGAATTTGTTGTGATAGTTTGTGAAGATATTGATTGATATGTATAAATTGAGTGATTTGAAATGTTAATTGTATGTTATAAAATGATTTTATTGATTGTATGTGTTTATACATGAAATTGGATGTAGGTAACTTGTAGTCACTAAGGAGACGTGATTTATAGGGAGGAAGATCACGTTCTCGCTCAGCGAGATGTGTTGGATCCCTCAGCGAGAAGCCTAGAGGGCTTAACTTGCTCAACTAGATGTTGGTCGCTCAACGAGAAGTCCTATAGGGGGTTTAGTTCGCTCAGCTAGATGTCAGCTTGCTCAGCGAGAAGTCCTAGGGGAATCAACTTGCTCAACTAGCTGTCAACTTGCTCAGCTAGATGTCAGCTCACTCAGTAAGATGTTGGTGGCTTAGCTAGATGTTATTGGGAAGCAACGGTTAATTGGTTGTTTTACCTTTGTGATCTTGATACTACCTTTTCACTAATGGCTAGTTAATGTATTTGAAAATGTACATGGGATATATGAGGTGATATGAGAAATATGTGATATATGAAGTAAGAGCATGTGTATGTTATTGCATCAAGTCTATTTAACATGCATTATATGCACACAAATTGACAAATTGTTCAATATGCATTGCACATATCTTGAGATTGGTACCACATGCATGCAAATCGAGAGTTTATGTAATTTGCATTCCATACTTGCATGTGAATGAGTTAATTATGATTGGTGTGTCATAGATATGTGTATGGCTATTTGTTATTTATTTCATGCTATGAGATAGAGTGAGAAATGTTTATGGATATGTCTTGTTGTATACCTTGTTCATGTTTGCCTATTCGATTTACATTCTTACACTATGAGCCGAAGTGAGATGTTTCTCATTCCTTTTGTCCTTGTTGTTGCTCTTATGTTGATTCTGTAGGTAATGATCAACATGATGTTGAAGATATTGGTGATGAGGCTTAGACTTCATGTTGGGTTGCTCTAATAGGACATGGGACATCGAGACATATTTATAAGCTTTCTTAGACTAGATTAGGATGTTGTTCTGTTGAATTATTTTAGAAAACATTAGTTTTATTTTCTTATAATTTTAGTTGATTATGTTATTTCGTTAAGTTAAGAATGTGATGCATTCCACCTAAACACATTTGGTTTTACTTAAAAAGAGTTATGTTATTCAATTTTCATTATTTATGTATTATGACATGCGTGGTAGAGGGTGTCATATAAAGTCTTGTGGAATAAGCTCAAGAGCATTTATGCATCTAAGTCGTTGACCAATCATCTATGTTTGAAAATAGAATTGTATCAACTCAAAATAAACATAGGAGAAAATCTTCATGATCACATTAATAATTTCATCTAGTTGGTGTGTCAATTGTTGAATTCAAATGAAAACAAAAATTATAATGTGCAAGTAGTGTTGTTGTTGGCTTTATAACCAAGGTCTTACAAATTTTGATTCAAAAGTTGCTTGTAGGGAGGACGTCATTACAATTAGATGAGATAACCATCACTCTAAGACAAAATGAGAGCATAATGAAAAATAAAAATTTTGATATTGGAGGTCATGCACTAGCCATGCAACGATCTGGGCAAGGGGCATTCATGGAAACATGATGGGCTAATTAAGAGGAAGATCAAATTTTTAATTTTGTCCAAAATGAGATATGAGTAACATAGAGTGTTATTATTGCATGAGAAAAGGTCGTGTGCAAGGAAGGTTCACAAAAATCTGCGAGGACTTAAAATAATCAAGAGATACGATGAGAGATGATGACAGTTCCCAAACTAATATGACATAAGACTTTGACAATAAAGATAATTATTTGGCAAAAACCAAGTAAGTTGCTAAATCAAAATATGTAATAGATTCTCCTACTTCAAAACATATTTGTCAGGACCAAACAATGCTTGACATTTTGAAAAAAAAATGATGATTTTGGTCATGTAACAACCTCATAGGTCACCACACATAACAACACATCAACACATCAACACATTAGTATTGGAAAACATAAAATCATTTAACCTAAGGTTCTTATGCAAACAAATCTTGGATATTCATTCATCAATTTATAAATAATATATATTATTGCAGGAAAACATAAAATAGAACTTTCCCATAAGTGAAAAGTATAAAAGCCCTTTTTGGGGGTTACAATAACCCTAAATACATATATACAAAGTATATCAATATCTACAACAAAATAGGATTGCAAACAAAAGTCATAGGTGTCGATCAAGAACTTTACACTAAGTTGTATCAAAACAACTCTACAACACCACATCATTAAACTCTTGGCTCACCCTCCACCTAATCTCAAACTACTCACATACCAAGTATGATCATCATAGTCCAATACAAGAAAAAGTAAAGGTAAGCTTGTATAACAAGAAAAAAAATATAAAATAGAAATCAATAGTTATATCTATATCAAAATGAATAACTTTTAACACATAGTTGTAGAGAGATACATTGCATCAACTATACACAACTCATAACACAATTTTACAACTCAACAACCTCATTATGACAAACACCTCAATAAAACAACTTAGCAACACAATTAGACAACTTATCAACATAGATTTACATCTCAACATCATAGTAAACAACACAACATCTTTACGCATAGTAACATATTTCAACTTAAGAAATCTCCTACACCACAGGTGAACAATTTAAGTGGATCAATCTTACTAAATAAACAACACAAAAAAACCTTTGCTTTATAGATCATAACAACACAAATTTGGCTTAAAAGTCATAATCAACGTAAAAATGATTTATCAAATTTTTCCATTTAAAATAAGAGGGTCCAATACTTCTGTTAAGAATAGAACATTTTGGATGTGAGTCTACCATGACATTGACATGCATTAACTAAGCCTAAAATGGGAACCCTCCAAATACTGTGCACCCTTCCAACTCTCAATTAAGGATTTTGGCCCCTGACTTCATGCCTTACCCATTGGCCACTTCACAACTAGTATATATACTTATTTCCATATATGTCAACTAAGAACCTAAATGAGACAACTTTCAAAATAACCCTCCACTTTAGGAGCGAACCCTCTCACTAAAGGCTTTTTGTCTTTGGCATCTCACAACACCACAACTCATATCCTCGTAATAAGATCTTGTAACACATAAAATAACTTACTCCTCTGGTTCTAAGTTCAACTCACAACATACAAAGCATGCAT